TCATTTTAAAATTTTTTATTCCAGGGGATTGATAAAGTCAAATTCCCATTACCAAACAGCATTGAAGTAGAGGTAGCATGTGGAAGGAGCAAACACTTTGGACTTAACCATACATGAGATTGAAACTTAGATCTGCAGTTTACTAGCTTCGTGATTATGAGCAAAGATGAACTACCCTGTGCCTCTGTTTTCTGATCTGTAAAATGAGAGTTTTGGAAGATTCCTTTTCTCAGGATTTTGACAAAAATTAAATGAATTCATAATGAGAGATACTTAGTACATAGTAACTGGCAACTATTCTTACTGCCATTATTATTCTTTGCTTAGTGTTAATTTTAATCTTATCTATGGGTTGCTTCCAGTTCCTGTAAATCCACTAAATGTGCATTTTCCATTGATTCCTCAGTAAATTGCACCCAGGCTATATAGCAAGAAAGCACCACTGCGAACACTGGTTGAAAAGCAATTCTTACTCTATAATTCAACATGAACATTGTTATTTTAGATGACAATATCTACACTGTATTAAAGTCAGAGTAAATTTCATAAAAATTTGATTCAATAATTTCCCTCTTTAATTCCCCTTCCTGCAAAATAAAACCCTACAGTGCTTAAACTTCTAGAAACCTGGAAGAGATGTAAGGCAGCTACCAATCTACCTATCACATTATATTGACTTTAACTGCAGGGTTAGTTTGGAAACCTGTGGATCCTAAGACTATCTTTAATTGCCCCTTATTTTTCTGCACTTAAAGCAAATCATGTTTATTTATCAATCCATTCATTCATGTGTGTTGATAGTTATAATCCTATCTACTTCCAAAAGAGATCTGAAGGGTCTTATCATCAAGGCCAAGGTATAATTATCATGGGTTTAAAAAAAAAAAAAGTAGTAGAGAGGAGAGAACATTCCACTCCACAGTCATCTTTCCTTCTTTGCCTGCTCCTTGTTCTACCTCTTTTCTTTAGCTCCTGTCGATAATACCTGGAGTCTGCCAGCACCTTCATTTTGCTAAGGTGGTCGTACCTCTGCTGAAAAAAGCAAAGCCCAGCCAAACTGGATTCTCAGCATTGCCTTTCAGTGGTAAGCTATTTAGAGAAGGATAGAGTAAAAAACCTGGGATGAAGCTGGAGTGGATCAGCCTTTGGCAGGCAGAGAGCACGTCTAGCGTTATAAGAATTAGAATTTAATTCCATTGCAATAAAATAATGAACATAACTAAATGCTTCCAAAATGAGATTCTGACCTGTAATGACTTTCTAATTTCCATGCACAAGTTAGAAATAGGGCTAAACATTCTTCTTGAGTAACTACTTATGGTCAAAGTATACATATTATTCTCACCCCCCCATCCCTCCTCGCTCCCACCACACAAGAAAACAGTAAGATTCACCTGCCTGGGATTCCCAAAGACACTCACCCGTGTTAGAATTAAGATCATCAGGCTCTGATTCGGTCCCATTTTGGCTTCCATTTCCCTGAAGAGTATTCATAGCCATAAGCTTCATCTTCTGCAGCTTCATTGCCTCAGCCATTGCTGCAGCTGTTATACCTAAAACCAGAACCATCCCTTTTAAAATGGAGGCACTTTCTTAATGTCATTGAAAGCTGGCGATACATTTATTTAACAGGGCTATGCTACAAAACACAGGCCAAAATAAAGTTGAATTTATTAATTTTTTAACAAAGTAATTTTCAACTCTTGTAATTCCTTTATCTTACAATGGACAGTTTGAAAATCCAAAAAAGGAATGAATGTAGATATGATCACCAATTCAAAACACATAGAAAACAAAGCTAGTAAAATGAAAATAGTTTTAAACATTCCAAGACTCTTGATAATGTACTGTGGTGTCTGCTAAGAGCTTTGGACTATTATTTTAGATAGAACTGACTATGTAGTAAATTCCATCTAAAACGACATTGTCAGAGGAAGCACTCTGACATGCTAGAAGGAACAGCTTTCAAGTGCATATACTGGTTCACATTTCTGCTGAAAGATGGGTTGTCTAGAGTATGAAAGTCAGCTTAGAGGGGACGGTGAGGAGGAGAAAATGACTCCAGGTAGTTTCACCCTTTTATACACTGAGAGACAAAATGAAAACATGTCATGCCACCTCTACAGCCAGCCCCTGTAGTACAATTACATTCTTTTGTATTAATATAAAGCAGCTAAAAAAAGCTTTCTGCATAATGGTATAAAGAGGTAGGGAGGAAATGGCCATAGAGAAAAAGCGAATGTGTAAGTTTGAAGTTCTTTCTCCTAAGAAGTCTTTATCAGGCAGCACCACAAAGACATATAGTGAAACAGGTACTAAAAATAGCCAACCAATCCATACTCCAACAATGCCTTTCAAAAAGTTTAGTGAATTCAACTTAATTATTTTTAGATAATATCTGAATCCCTAACCATCTACTGGTAGACTATGGCCATGGGCCAAAAAGTAAAAAAAAAAACTATGACAGATTTTAAAACAGCACTTCGGAATTCAGCAAAATCCATTCTACCACGCAAAAGCAATTCAAGGAAAAGAAGAAACATATTGGTTGTTTAAAAAAGAAAACATAATTGCCATCAGAAGATCCTGATTCTAAGACGTAGGGTGAATCCTTATCAAAGGTGTAAGGGTAAGTTTGTACAGCTTAGACTATCTAACTGTGTATGCTCCGTAGAATAGCTAAGGTTCTATTTTGCCACTCTGTACTCTTTATGACGCATGGAAAACTCATAATGAAGCAAATCTTTCATAACAATGGATTGTCTCTAAATCATGGTAAAGAACAGATCTGAAAGAAAATTACTTTAGTCTCTAAACTGATGACATATACATTTGCACATTATCTAGATGGTCTGAGATATTTTCTTGCCATATCTAATTTAGCTTTACTGAATTCCAATCCACTGAATGACTTGTCTAGCCCCAAGGGTAAGTCTGGGCAGAAAATGTGATGGCAATGATTTAAACATAGGGACTTAGGACTGCCAGGGCTGAGTACCACATAACCAAAATTGTATCAGTATAAGTTTCCAGAAGTTATGTTGGCTCCTCAAAACTGGATCCTGACTATGACAATTATTGGTAATAAATAGCTATTTCATTATTTATAGAATAAGTAATGGATTTCTGTGAACAATATATGGCTTCTAACTGTGAAAACTAAGGTTGACTAATATCTAAACCATCTTGTAAAAGAAAAGTTCCAGGTAACATGTGTTTCATACAATGACACTAAGAGAATTAATGAGCAAGATTCCACACATATTTTTAATTCATAGAAAATATGGTAAGTTCCAATATCTGTGTATTCTTCTAAGCAAATGCTATCCATATGATATCACTGAAAAAAAAGTCAGTGAGAAAATTTAGAAAATAAAGTTAAGGTGGAAGAGAAGAATATGGCTGACCAGAGATATAGGCTGCCAGATTGTTTCAAAAAGAAGGAAAAGTTTTAGATTAAAAAAAAAAA